AGCTCTTGAAGCAGGGAGAGAGTGAACCTAGTAATGACCAGCAAAGAGGGGGGGCGAGGAGCTATAAATCAACCCCTGTAACCACAAATAGGTGAGCAGACACAGACACACACTCAACAACCTACTGGAGTGGTTTTATACGATGAGGACATAAAGATCGACTGCAAATTCTTGGACGGCAGGAAATTTAACCTTACACTCCAGAGATTGCTACATAAATAAGAAGAGGAAGCAGGTACACAGGGTAGTGTTACACAGTGCATCAAGGAATATCTACCCAGCAGAACACAGCTGCTGATGGTGAGGGCAGATGTTTCAGGATGGCAAAGCGTAACGAGTGGGGTTCCCCAAAGATCAGTTCTAGGACAATTATTGCAGGTAAATGACCTGTCAGAGGTAGGGTCAACAAGGGATCGCATTATACTATATATTTGTGTTTAGTTTTCCATCGTTGTTGGTATTTAATACCTTTTATCTTCATCCAGGAAGAGGGAAGATGGGAGAGGATAGAGGCCACATGTAGACGATGACCAGCTGCAAGGTGGTCAGACAAGTGGTTACTGTAGTTCTTACAAGGTGGTCAGACAAGTGGTTACTGTAGTTCTTACAAAGTCGTTACAAAGAAGTGGTAACTACAGTTCTTACAAGGTGATCAAACAAGTGGTATACCTGAGTGTTCCTGGGGGTCAACGACCCCGAGGCCCAATCAATGATCAGGCCTCACGGTGGATCAGGACCTGATCAACCAGGTTGTTACTACTGACCGCACGCAGACATATGTACGAACCACAGCCCGACTGGACATGTACTTTTAGGTGCCTGTCCAGCTCCCTCTTGAAGACAGCCAAGGGGTCCATTGGTAATCCCTCTTATGTATGCTGGGAGGCAGTTGAATAGTCTTGGGCCCCTGACACTTTGTCTCTTGGCGCATTCATTAGGGGGATATTACATCGCCTGCCGAGTCTTTTGCTTTCGTAGGGAGTGATTCCTATGTGCAGATTTGGGACCAGTCCCTCTAGGATCTTCCAGGTGTATATTATCATATATCTTTCTCGCCTGCTTTCCAAGGAGTACAAGTTAAAGAACAGTAATTTAGGTACTTTATTGTACTTATACGTGCAGTGGAAGTTCTTTGCATATTCTCCAGCTCTGCAATTTCGCCTGGGTTGAAAGGGGCCGTTAGTGTACGGCAGTGCTTGGGGTATGGAAGGTAATAAGGCAAGGTTGCCACAATTCCCTGGATTAAAAGCCTTTGAAGGCCCTCTGCTGTGTTTTACACCTTATTTACAAGTGCATCTGTTGTTTTACACCTTATTTACAAGTGTAACTGTTGTTAGCGTTTTACACCTGATTTACAAGTGTAGTTGTTGTGTTTTACACCTATTTACAAGTGTAGCTGTTGTTTTACACCTTATTTACAAGTGTAGCTGTTGTTAATGTTTTACACCTAATTTACAACGCTACCTAGTAGGCTGAGTCAGTGTGGTACCCTGGAGTTCGTGTGTGTGTGTGTGTGTGTGTGTGTGTGTGTGTGTGTGTGTGTGTGTGTGTGTGTGCGTGTGTGTGTGTGTGTGTGTGTGTGTGTGTGTGTGTGTGTGTGTTTGTGTGTGTGTGTGTCACCTGACTGTTGGTGGTGGCGACATGCTCGCCCTTCCTGAGTGAGGTGGACATCAGGTTTGACTGCTCCACTCTCTTTAAGATATAAAATCCAACATCAAATTCATTTTGTAGCTTGTAAGTAGTGTTGGAACCTTTGTTGAGGCACGCAGTATTTACGTTCTGTCAGTCAGCGAGCAGCTGGAAGTAATGTTGTTGTCAATACGAAGATTTATACCGCATTAATGTCTTGTTTTACCAGCAGTTGAACTTTTAACATATCTCAGTTTACGGTTAAATGACTACGTAACTTTGGAAGCCATTCCATCTTGGGTTTTTTACTCAGCTGGGAGAGCTGAGGAAGGCGTTCAGTGGGTGAATGAGTCTGTCTTGGTGTGCACTCATCTATTTGTGGCTGCATGGGGTGTGTCGGGTCGTAGCTCCTGGCCCTGTGTGTGTGTGTGTGTGTGTGTGTGTGTGTGTGTGTGTGTGTGTGTGTGTGTGTGTGTGTGTGTGTGTGTGTGTGTGTGTGTGTGTGTGTGTGTGTGTGTGTGTGTGTGTAGAACACTAACCGACTGATACAAGAAGCTAAACTTGTCAACATGACCATGTATAGACAAGCAAAACTTCCTGAGTAAAGGCGTGTCAGAGCAGCAGCTGTGAACACCTCCACTCAAAAACGTGTTATAGTTCAATAAACGAGATAAAATGTTGTGATACCAGCTCTCCACATGAAGGTAGCGAGGCGTGAATCACACGAATGTCAAGCTAAACATGACAATTACAATCATACAAACAGACATTCTTTAGTGCCAGGAAGCGTAAAAGAATGGTAGAACATGATAAGAATGTGTCACCACCTGTGAGCTACGTAGCACTGGTTATAAAGTCAGTGGTGGGCTCCTCACAGTCACAGATATTAAGATCAACTAAAAAAATGACCCCTAGCACTGTAACAAATATGACTGGTTTTATTTACAAACATGCAAGGTCTCACACCGTGTAACAAGGTCTCACACCGTGTAACAAGGTCTCACACCGTGTAACAAAAGAATGTTGTTTATTAGTGACTGGCTTTATTTACAAACATGCAAGGTCTCACACAGTGTAACAAGGTCTCACACCGTATAACAAGGTCTCACACCGTGTAACAAGAGGATGCTGTTCATTAGTGTCTTCCTCACATGGTTAAATACAATGTTCTACACAGCTCCAGCTAAAAGATAATTCTGAGGGTGAAATGTGGATACCCGAGTACAATCTTTCTAGACACAAACGAAGAAACAGGCAACAAGGGATGAAGGGAAGATAGATGGTCTGTGGTAATTAAAAGAGCCACTCATATACAGTAAGTTACTGATCACGTGTGTTGTAGCAGAGACCTTGACGGGTAAAAAATGACAATCAGATTCCAGTTGTTGTACTTGTGTATAAACACAAGACGCAGCTTCCAAGGACCAGTTACTGAAAATTCAATACTGTCTTGAAAATCTCTCAAACCTGGCCCCATATATATATATATATATTCCTGTTCTCAAGTCTGCCCCACGATCGCCTTAGCTGCTGGGTTAAGCCCTGGCTCTATTTCTCTAAGAACACTCTTCTCCAGAGCTATTTTTCATCTGTTCCGTCTTCCCCGCTCATCCCATTGGGATCTTACCTGAATTTGTTTCCTTGCTTTTGCTTTAATTTGTGATATCTAATAATAATAATAAAATAATAATAATAATAATAATAATCTTTATTTCTACATGTATAAGGTGATAAATCAGACACATGTGCAACACTTGGGTACCTTTGAGGAAACGTTTCCCCACACAGTGGCTTCATCAGCCCTGCGTGGCGAAACGTTTCCTCAATAAAGATACCCAAGTGTTGCACGTGTCTAATTTATCAACTTGTCGATTCTCTAAACCATTTGTCTACACTGCTGTCAGACACAGCAACATCTTGGGATCTTGATACAGGAAATTCTTCACTTGTCTAACCTATAGTCACGGCCTACTTCCACCAGTTGATTTGGCTACTGTGATATCGCCTACGTGGAACTCCATATTCAGTGGATAAGAATGAAACAGGCAGGACCATGCTTGAAGCTGCTGGTGTTCTCAGCTTGTAAAACAAGTGCTGCCCTACGCTGGCTGCCCAAAATTATGTGGCTTTAGAAGTATGAGAGTGTGACTCCGTCCAGGTCAAGGCAGAGGCTGAGATGTCTGGATTCGAATCGTTGGCTAACCTACGATATAAGTTTATATACAAAAAAAAAAAATCTTGTTTTTGCATACCGTAAGCATCTTTAACATCCCTTGTGTTGACCGGCATTAATGCTACGTGGCAATAAAGGAGGGCCCCGCCTATACAGCAGGTTAGGTTCCGAGCTAATGCTGTAAAGCGAAAATCGCTGTAAAGTGAATCATAACCTTCTTTCACTTTGAAAAGCATATAAAAGACTGATAAAATGTTTACACTATCATTTATTATCATTTATTAAGTGAATGCATATACCTTAGAATATTTTCGTCCTTATCATATAGCGAGTGGTGAATGTATTTACTGTAGGAAGTCTGAATAAATGAAGAATGGATATAATTGACAACTGCTGTATTAGCGAAACGCTGTAAAGTGGTGCTATAAAGCGGGGCCCTCCTGTACTCACAGAGATGAGAGGAGACGCTTCACGTGGTATCCGTGTGTGAGTCGTGTGTGTCCGATTTGCAGAGTTGCCAGTCTGGTTCCCCACGTGTGACAGCAATGGAAAGATGATGACCAGGAGCTGTGTTGTGACTTGATTGATAACTGGTGTCCCAGTAGTGAGCATCGCTGCCAACGGTGCTCACATCTCTGCAACACTACTGGCAAACAGTACTGAGTCAACATTGAAGACAACAGGAATGATGATTTATTATGATTATTATTATTATTATTATTATTAATTACAGTCTTCGCGAGGGAACACTAAACCTGTGAGGGTCATACATCTCCTTGGTAATTGTAAGTGATCAGGATTACTCCGAGTATGAAAAGGGTAGCTCCAGTCCTTTGGATCAAGAGCCCTTCACGAACAAGGCATCTTTGCGAGCAACCGGTTGCGCTACCTTTGGCCCTCGTGAGCAACCGGTTGATCTAGCTTTAACTACTGTGAGATATTTCATTATTTATCACTACGTTACCACATTTACTCCAAGCGCTAAACCCATGTGGGAGTCACTGAACACAAGGAGTGCTGGAAACTCGATCCTACGTCTGGCAATCCCCAGAATGAGAGAGAGAGAAAGAGAGAGAGAGAGAGAGAGAGAGAGAGAGAGAGAGAGAGAGAGAGAGAGAGAGAGAGAGAGAGAGAGAGAGAGAGAGAGAGAGAGAGAGAGAGAGAGAGAGATATTATAATTTATGTATTTTATCCACAGGTGCCCCACGTGAAGGAGGACATATTGAATGGTGTGGGCGGCGCGGGCGGCATGGAGGGCGTGGGCGGGCGGGCGGCCAGCAAGGTGGGCGGCACAGCAGCAAGCTCAACCACTTCCAGAGGATCTTCCAGCAGTGGCTCTTCCGGCCAAGGTTGGTAGTGGTGGTGGTAGTGATGGTAGTGGTGGTGGTAGTGATGGTAGTGGTGGTAGTGGTGGTAGTGATGGTAGTGGTGGTAGTGATGGTAGTGATGGTAGTGGGGTGTAGTGATGGTAGTTGGGTAGTGGTGGTAGTGATGGTAGTGGTGGTAGTGGTGGTGGTAGTGATGGTAGTGGTGGTGGTAGTGATGGTAGTGGTGGTAGTGGTGGTAGTGATGGTAGTGGTGGTAGTGGTGGTAGTGGTGGTAGTGATGGTAGTGGTGGTGGTAGTGATGGTAGTGTGGTATGATGTAGTGGTGGTAGTGTGGTGGTAGTGATGGTAGTGTGGTGGTAGTGATGGTAGTGGTGGTGGTAGTGATGGTAGTGGTGGTGGTAGTGATGGTAGGTGTAGTGGTGGTAGTGATGGTAGTGGTGGTAGTGGTGGTAGGGTGGTAGTGGTGGTAGGTGGTGGTAGTGAGGTAGTGGTGGTGGTATGATGGTAGTGGTGGTGGTAGTGGTGGTGGTAGTGTGGTAGTGGTGGTATGATGGTAGTGTGGTAGGGTGGTAGTGATGGTAGTGGTGGTAGTGGTGGTGTGGTGGTAGTGATGGTAGTGGTGGTGGTAGTGATGGTAGTGGTGGTAGTGATGGTAGTGGTGGTAGTGGTGTGGGTAGTGGTGGTAGTGGGGGTGTAGTGATGGTAGTGGTGGTGGTAGTGATGGTAGGGTGGTGTAGTGATGGTGTGGTGGTAGTGGTGGTAGTGGTGGTAGTGGTGGTAGTGGTGGTAGTGTGGTATGGTGGTAGTGGTGGTGGTAGTGATGGTAGTGGTGGTGGTAGTGATGGTAGTGGTGGTGAGTGTGGTGGTAGTGGATGGTAGTGTGGTAGTGGTGGTAGTGATGGTAGTGATGGTAGTGGTGGTAGTGGTGGTAGTGGTGGTAGTGGTGGTAGTGATGGTAGTGGTGGTGGTAGTGATGGTAGTGGTGGTGGTAGTGATGGTAGCGGTGGTGGTAGTGGTTGTAGTGGTGGTGTTGGTGGTGTGTTAGTGGAGTGCTGGTATGACTTACAAGACAGTACAGTGAGGGTTGAGTTTGTCAACTGAGAGAGAGTACCAAGCCAGACACTCGTACATTCTCCGTCACACACTCACTCTCACATGATATTCTTGATAAATTACCAAAACAATATACTACGAGGGACCAACTTGAATATAACCTTAATATGTCTGTGTCAACACAACATATAATATTAAAGGAGGTTAAATTGTGAACGGAATTTCAAAGAAATACAGTTAGAAGCCTGAGGGGACTTATAACTCACTATAACATGAACATAGATAAGTACATTAGCAGAGAAACTTGTAATGTGAGCACTGACTGATGCTGTAGCAGCCAGGCTACTACAGCATCACGGAAGTGAGCACTGACTGATGCTGTAGCAGCCAGGCTACTACAGCATCACGGAAGTTAGCACTGACTGATGCTGTAGCAGCCAGGCTACTACAGCATCACGGAAGTGAGCACTGACTGATGCTGTAGCAGCCAGGCTACTACAGCATCACGGAAGTGAGCACTGACTGATGCTGTAGCAGCCAGGCTACTACAGCATCACGGAAGATCATCAAACTAGATACAAAGCTAGTACAATAACCTCACGTAATGTGGGTTGGTGTTGGATTTAGGAAATAAAACACATTTAAAGACATTCTGAGTAACTAGTCTAAGTTTGCTAGTGATAAAATATATACTTTTAAGTAATATTTATTAAAGTATACTGCTATTAAGCCTTCTAGGGCCTAGTTCACAGGCCTTATGTGTAGCTGTGTCCTTATGCTACCGTCTAGACCAGGTTCTTTACCCTTTTACGATTACTGAGCCTCCATGGAGTGCCCAATATGTCCCAAGACTCTCTTCACCAGATGATTTGCACTCTAAATCATTACCAGCATCACCAGCTCTATTAGGTACCAGTATGACTTCAGAAGATGTCAATAGTTTGGTTTTACTTCATATAAGTATAGCTAGCAACACAGGATAGCTAGCAACACAGGATAGCTAGCAACACAGGATAGTTAGCAACACAGGATAGCTAGCAACACAAGATAGCTAGCAACACAGGATAGCTAGCAACATAAGATAGCTAGCAACACAGGATAGTTAACAACACAGGATAGCTAGCAACACAAGATAGCTAGCAACACAAGATAGCTAGCAACACAGGATAGCTAGCAACACAGGATAGCTATCAACACAAGATAGCTAGCAACACAGGATAGTTAACAACACAGGATAGCTAACAACACAGGATACCTAGCAACACAGGATAGCTAGCAACACAAGATAGCTAGCAACACAAGATAGCTAGCAACAAAGGATAGCTAGCAACACAGGATAGCTAACAACACAAGATAGCTAGCAACACAAGATAGCTAGCAACACAGGATAGCTAGCAACACAAGATACCTAGCAACACAAGATAGCTAGCAACACAGGATAGCTAACAACACAGGATAGCTAGCAACACAGGATAGCTAGCAACACAAGATAGCTACAACATAGGATAGCTAGCAACACAAGATAGCTAGCAACACAGGATAGCTAGCAACACAAGATAGCTAGCAACATAGGATAGCTAGCAACACAAGATAGCTAGCAACACAAGATAGCTAACAACACAGGATAGCTAGCAACACTGGATAGCTAGCAACATAGGATAGCTAGCAACACAAGATAGCTAGCAACACAAGATAGCTAGCAACACAAGATAGCTAGCAACACAAGATAGCTAGCAACACAGGATAGCTAGCAACACTTGATAGCTAGCAACACAAGATAGCTAGCAACACAGGATAGCTAGCAACACAAGGTAGCTAGCAACACAAGATAGCTAGCAACACAAGATAGCTAGCAACACTTGATAGCTAGCAACACTTGATAGCTAGCAACACAAGATAGCTAGCAACACTTGATAGCTAGCAACACAAGATAGCTAGCAACACAGGATAGCTAGCAACACAAGATAGCTAGCAATACTGGATAGCTAGCAACACTTGATAGCTAGCAACACAAGATAGCTAGAAACACAAGATAGCTAGCAACACAGGATAGCTAACAACACGGGATAGCTAGCAACATAGGATAGCTAGCAACACAAGATAGCTAGCAATACTGGATAGCTAGCAACATAGGATAGCTAGCAACACAAGATAGCTAGCAACATAGGATAGCTAGCAACACAAGATAGCTAGCAACACAAGATAGCTAGCAACACAAGATAGCTAGCAACATAGGATAGCTAGCAACACAGGATAGCTAGCAACACAGGATAGCTAGCAACACAAGATAGCTAGCAACATAAGATAGCTAGCAACACAAGATAGCTAGCAACAGAGGATAGCTAGCAACACAAGATAGCTAGCAACATAGGATAGCTAGCAACACAGGATAGCTAGCAACACAAGATAGCTAGCAACACAGGATAGCTAGCAACACAAGATAGCTAGCAACACAGGATAGCTAGCAACACAAGATAGCTAGCAACACAAGATAGCTAGCAACACAGGATAGCTAGCAACACAAGATAGCTAGCAACACAAGATAGCTAGCAACACAGGATAGCTAGCAACACAAGATAGCTAGCAACACAAGATAGCTAGCAACAGGATAGCTAGCAACAACAAGATAGCTAGCAACACAAGATAGCTAGCAACACAAGATAGCTAGCAACACAAGATACTAGCAACACAGGAAAGCTAGCAACACAAGATAGCTAGCAACACAGGATAGCTAGCAACACAAGAAGCTAGAACACAATAATGCTAGCAACACAAGATAGCTAGCAACACAGGATAGCTAGCAACACAGGATAGCTAGCAACACAAGATAGCTAGCAACACAGGATAGCTAACAACACAGGATAGCTAGCAACACAGGATAGCTAGCAACACAAGATAGCTAGCAACACAGGATAGCTAGCAACACAAGAAGCTAGCAACACAAGAAAAGCTAGCAACACAAGATAGTAGCAACACAAGATAGCTAGCAACACAAGATAGCTAGCAACACAAGATAGCTATCAACACATGATAGCTAGCAACACATGATAGCTAGCAACACAAGATAGCTAGCAACACAAGATAGCTAGCAACACAAGATAGCTAGCAACACAGGATAGCTAGCAACACAAGATAGCTAGCAACACAAGATAGCTAGCAACACAAGATACTAGCAAACAGGATAGCTAGCAACACAAGATAGCTAGCAACACAGGATAGCTAGCAACACAAGATAGCTAGCAACACAACAGTTGATGGTATATTCTCATTTAACAACAATTTATTTGTTAAATTGTCTTGCAGTTATGACACATGTGCAACAGTTAGCCAACTTTATTCCCAAACGTTTCGCCTACACAGTAGGCTTCTTCAGTAGAGCACAGCTACTGTATAGGCGAAACGTTTCGGAATAAACTTTCCTAAGTGCTGCACATGTGTCTTATTAATGTGTCAGTACTGTATTCAGTATTCAGGTATACTGTAGCAAATATAAGTGTAGGATGTGACCAGGTCAGGTTCCAGGACCCAGTGTGTGTCTATTAACTTCTCTGTAACAGGTGAGCCTGTGGAAGGCCTCGGTCAGATGACCAGAAGCTCCAGCTGTGGGTCATCATATGACTAAGACCCGCGTCAGGAAACACTTGTCCTGTTTCCTGACAAGCCTTACCTAACCTAACTAAATTAACTTCTTGACATCATGATGTATAACGTCGTAATATTTGCCTGACTTCCTGACGCAGGAGTGGGAGGTGGTGGTGGGGTGGCGATGACGTCGGCGGGTCTGACATCGTCAACGCAGACGCTAGCGGTGACATCAACGCCTCGATCGCCTTCCCTGGCGTCCATCTCTTCGGACGGCAGTGCCGACAGCCACTTAGTGGAGCGGGAGGATATCGTGGCCCTCACCACTGCCGTCAGAGCCTTCAAGGAAGCTCTGGGCAAACTGAAGAGAATCTTCCACCCAGAGAGAGGTGAGTGTCCTCTCTCAACGACTCACAACCATCAAAATGGTATACAATACCGACAGGTTGGTAGGTAAGACACATAGGCAACAGGCAACTTTATTCCGAAATGTTGCCAATGTGTCTTACCTACCAACTCACAAACAATAAGCATGATGGTATGGTGATACAAACAAGGTCTGGGAAAAGGATAAGTATAGTTCGGGACACATATTACAGGGAACGTTTTGCCATGACTGAAAAAGTCATTGTTACGGAATACTGTAAAAAACACGCTCCATATATAATGTCAGTTTCCGTGTAGTATACTGAAAGTAGACGTGTATTATTCCCTGAAAGCGAACGTGTTTTATTCCTGTCAGTCAGGCAGTGGCCAGGACAGGAGCAGATGAGAGGTGTGTTAAGTTCAGTACGAGTCGGGTGGTGACGGGGGTAATGTCATCATGTTTGGGTGGTAGTTTGAGTAGGTAATTTTGGTAAGTTTTTTTAGTGTATACTATAGGTGTTTGTGTGTAAGTGCTCTCATGTTATTTGTAAGGCCCTAGTATGCAGAGGACTGTTTATGCGAGAGTACTGTATGGAGTTTTGCCTGCTGGTAATTACTCTACCGTCGTTACAGTTACTCGGGCCGAATCGTTTTCCCTCTTAATAAACGTCCTGAACTGTACATAATGTCTTTTTCCATAACAAGCCTCATATAATACCCATGTACAAATAACTTGCATGTGGGAGAAGGAAGATTATGACGACGTTTCGGTCCGACTTGGACCACAACGTTTCTCCCATGTGCGGCTTATTTGTGTATTGTTCCAGTCACGATATTGTTCTTTTTTTCTTCTTTACATACCCATAGTTAGGGAAAGCTCACATTTGCTTATATTTACACCCTTTAAACACTATGTGCTGTATAGCCCTTGTGGCTTAGCGCTTCTTTTTGATAATAATAATAATTTAAACACAGACGAGATTCACCTCTACTGCAACTGTGGAATCTCACAGCTTCAGTTGATAAAAAATATGACTGGGGTAAAACATTGGACTGTCTCCTTGAGAGGATCTGAATATGTAGCTTCTCTTACCACCCCATCTTTTGTGTACTTATATCCACGGACACCAGCGAAATTATTTACAAACATTTATCTCAGGACAGCAAGTGGATTCCAACCCATGAACTCATCTTCCGCCCAGGCAGAGTCAAACTCAGGTGCCTCACTTCAATAAATAGCATCTGAAGACAGCATATGCTATGTATTGGTTCTCCTAGTTGAGGTGCCTCGGTAAATGCCTGCTACTAGCAGTTTCGTCTTGTCCTCCCTTTATATACTAGCCAATCAGAGACATTAAAATCATTGCATTTTTGTAAATACTGTGCATAGTAAAGTGTTAAAGGAATATATATATATACACAAACAGCCGGCACATAGGAAAGAGAAAAGCTTATGACGACGTTTTGGTCCGTCTTGGACCATTCACAAATCACACAACAGAATGTGTGGGGTTCGATCCCGTGGCAAGACAGTCTTAAAACTGGTAGACCAGGTTTAAGACTCTATACCATCTCTTCTGCGAATCATTTATAATAGGTCTAAAGGGCCTTAAGCTATAGGTTGCCACAGCCATATTCGTCTGAAATTCATCTATAAAAACGTGCTTTTGTGGTCAAAGTGGTGGCCCATGTTAACCTTCCAAGTGCGCAGATGCTTATTTGGCTAGCACGGTGCAGTAGAGCACTGACATGCTAGAGTTAGGACTGTATCTAAGAACGTAAGAATGGAGGCCTACTGGACCGTACAAGGCAGATCCTTTTCAAAACCAACCGTGCAAGAACATAAGAATATATGAACACTGCAGCACGCCGTGGGTTTAAATCCTATCCGTCCTACGTGTTGTTTACAATCTCGCTATTATAATTTCACGAGTTAATTCTGGGACCCACTTCTCTTGAGTGAAATTTGTAACTGTTACTGGCCAGTGGTTGTAGCACAACCAAGCACTGCTGACCAGTGGTTGTAGAACAACCGCGGACTGGTGGCCAAAGTTTGTGGAACAACCCGGCACTGCAGGTCTGCAACACAAGTACTGAAGCTCGTGTAATGGTAGCCTGTTCTTTAAGTGTTCCACTTTTTTGTTAGCTGAGTTTCAGCGTTGACGCTGAGCAGGTGATAATGTCTCCACTGAGACTACCAAGTAGGTAACATACGTGAATACTGAAACAAATTTCTCGCTTTATTATTGTTGATGTTTGATACATTCCATTGGTATCGTTTACAGCCACAAGATAACGGCTGAGCAACTTTGCCAACTCATATGCAATCGATTATTTTTGCTGGTGAAGTTGGTGTGAGAATCATCATCTTTCCACCTCTTGTGCTCTCCTCCTTCCACACACACACACATTCACTCGAGGAAGTACTTGAGTTAGTCCTTCAGTGGATATATCTTACTCCATATATCATCGCACCACCAATGATATATGTATATATATATATATATATATATATATATATATATATATATATATATATATATATATATATATATATATATATATATATATAAAGAATGTTCGGTAAAACACCACAAAAACACACACACATATTCAAAAACTCAAACCATTCTTCCAGCATCATGAAAAAACTTGGTTAATGTGAGAAGACACGAGGTAGTAGGCTATACAGTTGGGAGGGAGCGTGTCTGAGTGTCAGGGAGATGACATCACTTAGCCTGATATCTGTTCCCTGGAGGCTGGGCCAGCACGAACCTCGTCCCTTGATGCTGCTGGATGAAGTGGGGCGGGTGTGGTGTTAGTGGTAGGTGTGGTGTTAGTGGTAGGTGTGGTGTTAGTGGTAGGTGTAGTGGTAGGTGTGGTGTTAGTGGTGGGTGTGGTGCTAGTTGTGAGTGTGGTGCTACTGTCGTGCTACATGCTAGGAGTGCTGAGTACGATGGAGTATTTTGGCATTAGCTAGTGTGATGAATATAGAAAGTGTGGAGTATTAGACTGCTATTACAACTGACAATCCTTCGCTTAGCAAGTAAGCATCAATCAGCAAAATAGCATCAACATCACATCATCAATAATACTGAGAAACTCTCCTCCAGCTCTCTGACGTCAACAGTGAAGGAATACTCACTCACGCTGTATTTAGTAAACCAGGTCACATAACTACTCACAGTAGACCAGGGGCCCTATTTTTGTCTACCTTGTTTAAGAACTTCAGTATGTAGAGAATGTGGTGTTTCGTAAGGAATAATAAAAACAGATAATACAGTGGCCGGAACAATTTAACAAAAAACCCTCACTTAGGAAGCTTACAACGACGTGTCGCTCCGTCCTGGACGCAGACATATTTTTGTAAACAGGTATACAAGTAGGCAGAAGAATTTAGACACTTTTACAACAGTCCCTAATGTTGCAGAAGTGTTTAATTTATCACCTTGTCAGTTTTCTAAACCGTTTATATCACAAATAGGTAGGTATGTGTGTGATTAAGACACAGGTGCAACAGTTGGGTATCTTTATTGTTGAAACCTTTCGCCTAAACAGTAGACTTCTTCAGTCAAATACAGAGGCAGCAGGTGTAGTAGTGAAATGATGTAATCAGTCCATCCCTTGGAGAACTAGTATTTAAGCTGTTCAGTCCCTCAGCCTGGCTGGGGGACTGACCAGCCTTTGCTGGGGCAAAGGAGTTAGCTATCATTCAATTTGCCCCCCCCCCTGGCTGTTTTGTATATGTTACCATATAAGACAACTGCATTCACACACAACTTGTGTAATTTACTTAAGTGTAAGTGTACCAAAATAAACTTACTTAACCTTGTCGGCGTCACCATACTATTTACTTCCTGCTAGAAGTGTTGTCGAACGAGTGTGCAACCAGTAAACAGCAATTCCTTTCCGTTGCATTTTTTATACTAAGATAGTTACACTGAGAGGTGTTCATCTCTGTCAACAAAGGATATACACTCGGTGGCCACTTCATTATGTACACCTGTACACCTGCTTGTTAATGAAAATATCTGATCAGTCACGTGACAGCACCTCAGTGCTTAAAAAACACGTATATATGGTCAAGAGGTTCAGTTGTTGTTCAGAGCAAACATCAGAATGGGGAAAAAATGTGATCTAAGTGACTGAGATCGTGGGATAATTGTTGGTGCCAGACGGGGTGGTTTGAGCATCTCAGAAACTGCTGATCTCCTGGGATTTTCACTCACGAGTCCTCGATAGTTCACAGAGAATGGTGTGAAAAACACAAAACACTCAGTGTGCGGCAGTGCTGTGGGCGACAACGTCTTATTAATGAGAGATGTCACTAACTCAAATAACCACACGTTACAACGGTGGTATACAGAAGAGCATCTGTGAACGCACACGTCAAACCTTGAATAAATAATAATAATCTTTATATCTACAAGTACATTATACAGGTTACATAGACCATAGCTGATATAGAAAGCCCCCTGTTATGCAGTGCATTTCGGGCAAATTAGGTTAATTTTGTCCCCAGGATGGGACTCACACCAGTCGACTAACACCCAGGTACCTACTTACTGCTAGGTGAACAGGGACAGCAGGTGTTTAAAAAAAATCACGCTCTAATAGTTCCACCCCTACCGGGGTTCGAGCCACAGACCTCAACATTTGAACTGGGTGCGCTAGCAACCGAGTTACGGGCTACGGCAGCAAATACCACACCTGGTTCCACTCTGTCAGATAAGAACGTGGAAACTGAGGCTACAGTGCGCTCAGACTCACCAAAACTAGACAGATGAAGACTGGAAAAACATCGCTTGGTCTGATGAATCGTGATTTCTGCTGCGACATATAGATGGTAGAGTCAGATTTTGGCGTTAACATTTAGGATGTGGTGGAACTGGAGATTGTGCAACTGACAAATCTGCAGCAACCATGTGATGCTGTAATGACAACATGGACCAGTATCTCTCAGAAATGTTTCGAGAATCTTGTAGAATCCATGCCATAAAGAATTCAGACTGGGCAAAGGGGTATATGGCCCTAGTCAGTACTAGAAGGGTGTGCCTAATAAAGTGACCACTGAGTGCATATACAATGAGAGTTGTAGGTCTCTCAGTGTATTAATATTTTAGTACATAATTTTAAGCTTTTACAGCTCTGTTATGCAGTACATTATGCAGAATCTAACCTAGGATAATCTAGCAAAGCCAATAAGAGAGACGTATTTCAAGAGGATTTAAACCCAGTTAACCAACGAACAAATTCCAGATATTGTATATATGATTGATATATAAAGTAAAAGGACACAAGTGCAACTAATGTGACATTTTACTGTGGCAACGTTTCGCTCTCCAGGAGCTTTATCAAGCTTGATAAAGCTCCTGGAGAGCGAAACGTTGCCACAATAAAATGTCACATTAGTTGCACTTGTGTCCTTTTACTTTACATATTGACGGTAATTCTACCAACTTTATTATGATTGATATACATGTAAAATAACATATCGTCTTCAGTTCACCTTTGTCAATTTACAAGTAAGAACGGTAGGGATGACCGCGCAAGACGATAAACAATTATTTTAACATTAAACCATTACTTACTTAAAGGAACCCAGTGGAAATAAGTCACTCTTGAGTTTTTTTTGGGTTATCCTAGGTTCTCTGCACATATGCTGCTATGTATGATAATCTATGTAACTGTATTTGTTTATACCTGAATAAACTTACTTAACCAAACATCATTAATATGTTTTAGTTTACCGAAATATTATTCCGTTTTCTCAGACACGTTCATAAAGAAAACGAACTTATAGAAATATGAGAGGGTAGACTCGTGTTAGGTACAAAAACTCCATGGTTAAGTTTATTCAGGTACAGGTACACAGAAGGGTAATTATAATATACAGCGTAAATTATCTACGATAACCCAAAAAATCAGACGAAGTGATTTATTTCTATACGGGTCTTTGTAATATTTAAATCCTAGCTGTACATATAGAGCACTAAACCCAGAGTGATCCAAGAAAGCCATCCCGTAGCTCGGTTACTATCGCACTCAGCTCACACATTAAGGTCCGTGATTCGATCCCCAGTACGGATGGAAACTTAGGACGTGTTTCTTTAAGACACATGTTGTCCCTGTTTACCTAGCAGTAAAATAGGTACCTGGGTGTTAGTCGACTGGTGTGGGTCGCATCCTGAGGACAAAGTTGACCTAATTTTCCCGAAATGCCCTGCATAACAAGGGACTATCTATACAGTCATTGATGTCAGCTAGGCCTGTATACCTTGTACATGTACTTGTAGAAATAAAGATTATTATTTATGTGGTTTATTTAGACTGGAATACTCTGATCCTCTTTCTCACTCTTTAACCCACAAAAGTCAACTAAGACCTTAGTATCTATTTACTGCACCGTGAAATATCACACTGTTTGACTTTACTGAGTTATCTTACGTTAAATTCTATATAATTTATTATATATACCCATTATAAGTTTCAAATTATGTAGGAGGCATATATATCACCCTGCCCGGGCATCGAACTCTTGTACTTTCGATTGTTCAAGTCTTATACTGGTTTGGCTTAAAATTACCATGGTACCTTGGTACAGAGGATATCTTATACGACTCTATTTTAGACAACTTACTGGCATGAACTGCTAGTGCCCCCCCCCCCCACCTGTGACGCAGTCTTCAACTGATGCATTTCACTTCTGGCTCCAGTATATCTCTGTATATCAGTATATCTCTGTTTTAGCCTCAATGACTGAACACCTAACCTTCTATCAAGGCTTAGAGACTCATCACCCTCATATTACCTCTCCATCTCTTTTGACTCCACCATAAAAGTTTCTTCTGCACTCATCTGAAGAAACCTGCTGTTCTGGCGTAACGTTTGGGCCAAATAATATCCCAGTACCACACATGTTTTATTCCTCAATTCTCTATTATTAATAAATTTATTTGGGTACAGATACACATAAATATGGTTACACAAATTATCACACATAGTAACATATTTACAAGCATTATCTCTAAATCCCCAGCAGCACTCGAACCTGCAAATTCTGCATCAGAGTACACAGTACTTTATCTACAACGCTAGATCTCGGGAGTCTGGCGTTGCGGACAAAGTACTGTGTACTCTGATGCCGAGTTTTCAAGTTCGAATCCTGCCGTGGCCTTAAAGATAATGTTTATAAGAATTGTTAAGCATAGTAACATATGTGTAAATTACCTGGGATAACCCAGAAAAAAAAATAGAGAAAGTGACGTATTACTACAAAAATATTGGTTTTACTGAATAGTTTACTTTCTTATCTTCGTAGATAAAAACGAAACTTTGCGAGTTGCTGCCCATGAGCGTCTTGGGGAAGTGTTGAGGATTCTGAGGTCTATCTTAGAGAGGTACAGCCCCATCCAACACAACGAGCTGCTGGCCGCCGCCTCACACCTCATCTCTCACGTCAATGGTAAGTACCTCCTGGTTAGGTAAGGTAAGGTTTCAGACGGGTCATCGCAAGACTGAGACCCGTGCCAGGACTACGGTCTTGGCGAACATTATACATACATAAGGTAAGGTTTGTCAGGAAACAGGACAAGTGTTTCCTGATGTGCGTCTTAGACACACGATGACCCACCACTTGAGCTTTTGGTCATTTGGCCGAGGCCTTCCGCTCTGGTTACCCTTTGGGTAACCAGAGGTCGTTCTTGCTGTAACACGCTATAGTGCCCTCAAACTGATTGTTTCGCTGGTCTATCTGAATAGGTCACGAGATGACCTGACGGGGTCGTCATAAGATAGGTCGTTATTGTAACTCCACTGTGCACAGGGTGACACACAGGTCGCACAGGTACCTACTTACTGCTAGGTGGACAGGAGCAACAAGTGTACAGAAGCAAGTCCAATGTTTCCACCCATGCATAGGATCGAAACCCCGGACAATCAGTGGGTTCTCGTGAATGTACATTCTCATGCCCTCTACAGAGATACTGACAGTCTGCTGTATATATCAGTTATTTTATGTATGTCCCACGAAACTAGAAATAACACGATTGTAAACATCTGGATAACAATTTATGTCTCATAAAACTTGCAATGACACAATTGTAAACAACTTGGTTCGAATCCTGTTCATTCTCAGAATTATTAATCTGTGCACTTGTGTTTTTGCTCAATTGTGGCTGCCTTCAGAATCCTGCACTTGAAATCTATCATCCTAATACAACAGCAGTGCTACTTCCTGGTTTATGAAGCAGTGAAAGACGCAAGTCCATCGTGAGTGCGTATTTGTGTTCCTCCAGAAAATATGGAATGGCAATGGGTTCGCCACTCAGTGCCATCTTGGTCAATATTTACTTGGAACGCCTGAAGAAAGAGAACTTCAGGAGTATAATCCCAGAGACTTACTTGTCCCAGCACACTTCCATCTTGGACATTTTTCCATACTCCTGCATAAGAGAAAATAAGTTACAATGAAAATAATCCTTCCTTTTCTTCTTCGTGATATGTGCAGTTTACTTAAGAGGTTTATTCTCCTGAGGACTGGACGAGTCGCTTGTTAGTTATCACTCTTGTTGTGTTGGCTCAGTGATATATATTGTCACTTGTTGTATTGATGCAGTAATATGTGCAGTTACTGGTGTCACTTGTTGTGTTCATCCAGTAATATGTGTTTTACTGTTGTCACTTGTGTTGATACAGTAATGTGTGTAGTTACTGCTGTCACTTAGGTAAGGTTTGTCAGGAAACCGAACAAGTGTTTCCTGACGCGGGTTTTAGTCATACGAAGACCCGCAGCTGTGGTTTTTGGTCATATCTGACCAAGGCATTCCGTTGGCTTACTGGTCCACTTTAAAATAATATGGTTGAATATAATAGATTGTTATCACCTATTGTGTTGGTGCAGTAACGTGTGTTGTAACTATAACTCACGAAATCGTAATGACGCGATTGAAAACAAAGCACGGTACAGGTGGAGATTGAACTCGCGGCTTGAGCTCACTTGCCGCGTATTCAATCCCACCCGTACCGCGGTTTATGTGTTGTCACAATTGAGTTGGTTCAGTGATGTACTCTTGCCTCTGTTGAGTACATAGACTGTAATATTATCTGTGTTTAGTTATGGCCCAACATATGGTTGCCTGTAAGAAGATAAGATTTCGTTCGGATTTTTAACCCCTGAGGGTTAGCCACCCAGGATAACCCAAGAAAGTCAGTACGTCATCGAGGACGCATCCCCCAGGATGCCACCCACACCAGTCGACTAACACCCAGGTACCTATTTGCTGCGAGGTGAACAGGACAACAGGTGTAAGGAAACGCGTCGAAATGTTTCCACCCCGCCGGGAATCGAACCCGGGCCCTCCGTGTGTGAGGCGAGAGCTTTAGCCACCAGGCCACTGGTGGATTTTAAGTGGCAAGTCATGTCTAAAACAGTGGTACAGAAAATGATGCATCATTCCCGGAACGTAAATTGTCACACTTTTTAGTTTGGTTAATAAATAATAATAATTAACAACACTTCGGGCGACACTGAATACTACACATGGAAAGCCTATTAATAATCAATAATTTTTATAGTTTGAGCAGATCAACTTAAATACGAAAAATATACAGGCCCGGTGGCCTGGTGGCTAAAGCTCCCGCTTCACCACACGGAGGGCCGGGTTCGATTCCGGCGGGTGGAAACATTCCGACACGTTTCCTTACACCTGTTGTCCTGTTCACCTAGCAGCAAATAGGTACCTGGGTGTTAGTCGACTCTTGTGGGTCGCATCCTGGGGGACAAGATTAAGGACCCCAATGGAAATAAGACAGTCCTCGATGACGCACTGACTTTCTTGGGTTATCCTGGGTGGCTAACCCTCCGGGGTTAAAAATCCGAACGAAATCTTATCTTATCTTATCTTATATAGTGAACCTCCGTAAAGTTAATCTTATTGTATCATAGTGTGCCCCATAGTTCAGTACGTTTTCTTAAAAAGTGCTTCAGAGAAAACGATACTTTTCCACGATGGTAAACTATAATTAATGAATCACAATAACTTATTCTGTATTCCCTTCCACACGCTAATAGTTCATTACCACTATAACTTGTTCATTATTATTATTATTATAATCAAGGGGAATATAACTTGTTCAGCTATCAAAACTCTGCGGTCCAGTCCCTGGAGCCATTATGTACCTCTGTAATCTTTTAACTACGACCCACGCCCTAAGTATGGGGTGCATAATAAAGATATTACATTTATATTTATCTTCCTTCCACTGCCACTCCCTGCTCCATTTATTAGTAACAGGCGAAATTATTTACAGACATTGTCTCTCAGTCCAGAGTAGAATTTGAACCTGCACACTGCATCAAAGCAAGCAGTACTCTAACCACAGGGCCAGACCCCTGGTAAGTATGAGTGCCTAGCCGAAGCTAGGCACTTACTAGGCGGTGGACCTCACACCCCGGCGCTCCAGGCCTGTGATACGTTATTTCATCAGTACGGGATTCACCACCTATCTTCGGCTAAGCGCTCATACTTATCTGGAATCTGGCTGTGCGGCTAAAGTACTGTGTACTTTAAAATAAAAACTATTTTTGGTAACTATAAAATGAAGCAGGGAGTGGCAGTGGAAGGGAATACAGAATAAGTTATCATGATTCACTAATTATAGTTTACCCTCGTGGACAAAAATATCGTTTTCTCTGAAACACTTTAAGAAAACGTATTGAACTATGGGGGTCTTGCCGTGTGGGTAAAGTATTGTAAGTTAATATTTTCTTCGGATTTTTAACCCCGGATGGTTAGCCACCCAGGATAACCCATGAAAGCTAGTGCGTCATCGAGGACTGTCTGACTTATTTCCATTGGGGTCCTCAATCTTGTCCCCCAGGATGCGACCGCCTCCAGTCGGCTAACACCCAGGTACCTATTTGCTGCTAGATGAGATAAGATAAGATTTCGTTCGGATTTTTAACCCCGGAGGGTTAGCCACCCAGGATAACCCAAGAAAGTCAGTGCGTCATCGAGGACTGTCTAACTTATTTCCATTGGGGTCCTCAATCTTGTCCCCCAGGATGCGACCCACACCCAGGTACCTATTTGCTGCTAGGTGAACAGGACCATAGGTGTCAAGAAACGTGTCGAAATGTTTCCACCCACCGGGAATCGAACCAGGGCCCTCCGTGTGTGAAGCGAGAGCTCTAGCCACCAGGCCACCGGGGTTTATTGAGGTATACACAAATACAGGTAGATTATCATACATAGCAGTATATGTGTAGAGAACCTGGGATAACCCAAAAAAGTCAAAGTGACTTATTTCTACTGACCATGGACCCCTGGAGAAAAAGTAACTTAGATTTTTTGGGTTATCCTAGATAATTTGCCAGCATGTTATTATGTATGATAATTGTACCTAGGTGTACCTGTACCTAAATAACCTTACTTAACCCCCTTAACCATTCTGACATCAGAGGTCAGCGTTACCTTGCCTAAAATGCTCTGCATAACCATGGATTTTCTACGTGTATCGTCGACTATCACACATTTATACAGAGACAGACAATATAATAACCTATGTGACATGTCAAGATATCTTATTAATGAAAATTCAAGATACCAGATATGCTCAGCAAATTTCCTAAATTTGCTTGTAACAGATAAGGCCCGGTAGCCTGGTGGCTAAAGCTCCCGCTTCACACACGGAGGGCCCGGGTTCGATTCCCGGCGGGTGGAAACATTTCGACACGTGTTTCCTTACACCTGTTGTCCTGTTCACCTAGCAGCAAACAGGTACCTGGGTGCTAGTCGACTGGTGTGGGTCGCATCCTGGGGGACAAGATTAAGGACCCCAATGGAAATAAGTTAGACAGTCCTCGATGACGCACTGACTTTCTTGGGTTATCCTGGGTGGCTAACCCTTCGGGGTTAAAAATCCGAACCAAATCTTATCTTATCTTAGATATGTAGATAAAAGACCCATATGTACACCTGTTATCCCTTTTGGGGCCTAGTTCCTAGGCCTTTTGTGTATCCATATGCTCGTGCGCTACCGTCCACATGATGGATATGGGATGCACAATAAACTAGCCACTTCGGTGGCAAAATCTAAATCTAAAAATCTAATCTATCACACATTTCTGTACAAATAATGTATCATGTGGAAATAAGTTTTGAGTTTGAAGGAGTTAGTTGAGTGTTGTGGGTAAGATAAGATAAGATTTCGTTCGGATTTTTAACCCCGGAGGGTTAGCCACCCAGGATAACCCAAGAAAGTCAGTGCGTCATCGAGGACTGTCTAACTTATTTCCATTGGGGTCCTTAATCTTGTCCCCCAGGATGCGACCCACACCAGTCGACTAACACCCAGGTACCTATTTGCTGCTAGGTGAACAGGACAACAGGTGTAAGGAAACGTGTCGAAATGTTTCCACCCGCCGGGAATCGAACCCGGGCCCTCCGTGTGTGAAGCGGGAGCTTTATCCACCAGGCCACCGGGCCACCGCATCCTGGAGGAGGATCTAGAGACCACAAGAAAGATAAGACAAATTGTGTTATCCTGTGTTATTAGACTCATTCTTCCTTCTCTTATCTTCCTCTAATCCCTCCTCTTTAAAAGTAATTGCTTCCTTCCCTCTCCATCTTTCTCTATAACCAACACACAGAGAGTCGCTTATCGCAGACGGAGGATCAAGCCTCCACGACTCAATGTATTAAATTTACGATAACCAATTATTTTTATGTAAAAGACGTGCCCTACAATGTGGGCAGTGTGTAGGGCGGGTAGTGTGTAGTGTAGGCAGTGTGAAGGGTTGGCAGTGTGTAGGGTGGGCAGTGTGTAGGGTGGGCAGTGTGTAGGGTGGGCAGTGTGCAGGGCGGGCAGTGTGCAGGGTGGGCAGTGTGCAGGGTGGGCAGTGTGCAAGGTGGGCAGTGTGTAGGGTGGGCAGTGTGCAGGGCAGGCAGCCTCCAGGGTAACTGGATATACAAGAAGTGTGTTTAGGATGGTGTAATATACTGTCTTGAAGAATATACTTGTTCAATACTCCAGCTCAGAGAGAGAGAGAGAGCGCACCAATTTGTGGTTGCAGGGGTCTAATCTCAGCTCCTGGCTCTGTACTCACATATTTGAGGTTGCAGGGGTCGAGTCTCAGTTCCAGGGCTACGTCTCTCAACTTGACAAGTTGCCAGATATGTTTCCGCCTAGCCTCCTGGGATATATCGTACCCGTTCTTAAAACTAGTCATGGGAACTGCCTCTATGCCGCACGCGCTCGCGCCTGTTTGTTTGTGTGTATGTGTGTGTGTGTAAAATAAGACATGGCTAGCGGGCAGCGTTTACCTCACAATATTATGTAAACACTGGGTAAATAGTGACGCCAATGTCAGGGGTGCCAATGTGAGAGTGCCAGGGTGTGTGTGTGCGCGCGCTCAGTCAAGCGTGGCACTGATGAGTGCCAACCTCTCAACCAAGTGGCACTATTTGCTTTCCTGCCACCACTATAACCTGGCCCACACCTGCCACCACTGTAACTTCGCCCACAGTGTATCTTGCCTTTTTCTCTGATAGCTGAAATGTGCTAGTTAGCTGGGGTGTATGCGAGCAGCATAGCCAGCCAGAGGGAAAATGAATGCACTCTCGGGTTTATTAAAGCGAGGAATGCAAAGTTACCTACACTTGTAACAACCTGGGCGGAGGTGGGTAATTACCACGGAGTAAGAAGACGAAAGATGATTTTTAACTTAGTCCTGCCTGTCGTTAGAGAAATGTTGCAAGCGTCTAAACAGATTTATTTCAGTTAACCTTCAAGGACAAGTTCAGGAACAGTTAAGTTTAAGCCAGATTTGAGGCTTCGTTACAAGTACAGTCATGCGTCGCTAAACGACGGAGATACCTTCTGAGAAATGCGTCGTTGGGCGATTTCATCGTTGTGCGAACGTCACAAATCTAGATAATATAGCCTACTACAAACCTAGGCTATATAGTATAGCCTATTGCTGCTAGGCTACAAACGTCAGGAGCTATGGTGAACAAAACAACGCAAAATTAAATCAGGCACAAGGGACAATGATGTTGTCAAGATACGTGGTAAACGACTAACACCCCATACTGTTTTACAGCAAACTTATTTTTGTGAGTAGAAAGAGCATACTTTAGAATAACTAAAAATACAGTATAGTAAATACATGAACCAGTAACATCACCACAAACACTTGAGCAATGCGTTACGCTATGACGTCACTAGGCAATAGAAATTCTTAGCTCCATTATAATAATCTTATGGGATCACCGTCGTATATGCGGTCTGTCGTTGATCGAAACGTCGTTATCCGGCCCATGACTGTACCTCTGGCAGGTTGGCAGACGCACGCATGATGATCAAACTAAAGAGGATTTGGTCAATCTTATGTTTAGTATCTAGAACATTGCTTCGTTGCTTGTCTACTTATTGAGG